GTGCTACCTCTTAATAGGCCCCATACAACCGATCATTTCCACCGAGGAAACTGCCTCGTTGGAAGACAAGCGTTTGGAGACCCTGAAGCATGCCAGAACCTTATTTTCGGGACTCCTACGTCACGGATCAAACTGACTGTTGCGTCTTGACGATCCTGACTCGCGCCAGAACGTCGTTCCGGGGACTTCAGCACCGCGAATCAACGTAAATGTTGCCTCCTCAGAATCCTGAATCTTTCCACAATACCATGTCTGGTACGTTGACCATGGGGATCCGTGAAATTCTTGCAATTTGTCTTAAATGAAATGCGCGCGGCGCTAACGCGAGAGCCAAATCTTGAAAAACGAACTGCCCTCAAGCAATGAAACTCTTCCAAATGTTAAAAACGAATGCACAAGGCGCTAAAATGAAAACCACGTTTTGAAAACGGCCTGTCCCCATTCCGTGGAACTCGTGCAACTATTTAAAACGAAAACCACGTTTTGAAAACCACCCGCCCTCAATCCGTGAAGTGTTTGCAATTGTGTCTAAAGAATGTGCGCGGCGCTAAAGCGAGAGCCACGTGTTGAAAACGACCCGCCCTCCATCTGTGAAGCTGTTGCCAATGCTTAAGCTCCAGGATCATAAGTGGTGAGGAAATCTCAGGCGGAACGCTCGGCCCGCCCTTTCGACCGGCTTCGGGGTGCGACAGGCAGGAATTACTTATAAGGAGAAGGAATGGAGGGAGGAGGAGGAGAGCAAACCCAGCAAAACTCTCTCCCGTCCCAAGGCCCCTCTCCATCAGTCCCCACTTCATTTCCACGGCGGACTCGCTCCCCCCTGAATGGACGAGCGCCCAATCAGACCTGCCACTCAGGCGAGACACACTCCTGCAAGTGATTCACCCTCCGTCCTCTTAGAATCTCTCAGAGGAGTGGAAAACGCCGCCAGCGCATCGAAGAAAGCCTCCCACTGGCGGGACCGAACCCAGGCGCACCGTCGTCCGACCAGAGCCCTGGGCGGCTCGTACCAAACAATGGCCCCCTCGTCGCGCCCCCCTCACCTCCGACGGCGCGACTCTGCTCATAGCGATGGACCCCGAAAGGTATCCACGCCTTCCCGTGGTCATCCCGGACCCCCAGAGGTCTCGGCGCCCTCCCGCAGAACAAGTCTTCATCTGACGGCCCTGGGGCTTGGTAACAGGACGCCGTGGAAGCCAGCAGTGACCAGAAGCCGACGAGATGTTTCATGACGCGGGCCCCGGGACCTCTACAAGGGTGCGCTCCGACTGAAGAATCTCGATGGCAACTGGGAGCCCCCCATCAAACAGGGCGAATAACATCTCCAAAGCCGCAAATCCCCGACATCTGGCTGGAGGATGATGATGACCCTCTCTGGCTCGCGATCGTCCCGAAACCACAGCAAGGGAAACACAGACTACACCCTGCGAAATGCTTAAGAAATCATGGGTTAAGAAATTCATAGTCTCAGAACGTGAATAAAAACCCAGAATTTCGATTTAAATCTTAGGATTTTCATTGAAACATTAAGAATAATCGAGACTCTGGCCGAAAATTTAAGTTTTCTTAAGCATCGCCTAAGGTGTACACAACTATACACTTGCCACAATCCGCGCGGACTTCCTGGGACGGCGCTGGACACAAAGGCGCGGCGCCGGGGGCGCCGCCTGGCCCAGACCCTCGACATCATGTTTTTTCACGACGCGGACCCCCAACCACTGACTACCTACCAGACCACCCCAACCCAACCCGAAGGCCCGAATTTCGGGTTGGGGGGGTATGGGCTCCATATGTGTTTTTTCGATGTTCCCGGACCCCCCCCCACTAGAAATCGAGGGTAAATCTGAGCCTTCGGGTTGGGTTGGGGTGGCTTGGTGGGTGGTGAACCACAGGTCTGGACCCCTCTCTGGGGACCGGCGTTTTATCCCGAGTCTGTCTCTCACAGCCCCGAGCCCCAGCAAGGGCCCCTGGGCCCCTGGAGGCCGAAAGCAGCGAAAACCCTTTGGCCGTGACCCTTGCTGCGATCCTAACAGGTCTGGGAAGGGGGAGGGGGCAAGCGCCGACCCAAGAAATCAGCGCGGACCGCCGACATCAGCCGCCCCGGCAAGCAAAACGATTCCGCGCGTGCCCAAACCCAAGGAGCGCCGATGGGGGGGTCGCAGGCAGAACTGCCGGGGCACGCAGGCGGGCCTCAGCAACCATCGAGCCCCTCCCCGAACCCGCATTGGACCCCACTTCGGCGTCTCGACTGCATGCTCGTGCCACTTCGTGCTGCTCCAGGCTAGGGCTCCCAACTTCGCGCTTCGCGCTCCCCGAAGCGCGAAGCGCGAATAACTTCGCGCTCTCGCGCCGCCCTCCCAAAGGGAGAATAGGAGGACGAGGAGGAGGAGGAAAAGGAACGAGGACCGCGAAGCGCGAATAACTTCGCGCCCTCGAGGGAGCCCTTGTCCAGGCCAGGCCAGACCTCCCCAAACCCCAGCAGAGGGCGGCCGCGGGGCGCCGGCGGCCCGCTCGCAGCGCCCCGCTGCCCGGCGCCACCGCCCTTCGCGCCACAGCCCGGGAGGCCTGGACGGGCACTCGGGGGCGGAGGGGCGGCTCGGGGGCGCCCGAGAAGAGGAGGACGCCCGAGGAGGGGGGCTCGCAAGGCATGGCCCGAAGCGCGCGCGCGGACGAGGGGGGGCCCATGATACGCAGGGAGATACCATGGCCCCAGTCGTGAGATCGACACGGGGAGGAATCGGCCAGGCAGCTCGGCCAGACTGAACACGGCCACCTCGACTCGGCCAAGCTGACCTGGGCCCAGGCCGAAATCGGCCTGGGCCGAATTCTAACTGGCCGAATTTGGTGGCTGCCCATGAAATCCTCCCATGCTCATCACCCCCCTTTTGGCCAAGCCCCGAAGTCTGCGGGGGGGCGCGGCCAGGGAGAGACACCCTGATCTCCTCGCGTCGTCACAAAAAGCAAACCGGATTTGCCCCCGGACGGGACGAATAAAATGAGCTGGCATGCGGCACCGCCAAAAATCGCGACCAGAGCCCTCGACCAATTTTTGTGTTTGCATGTTCGGAAGGTCCCTGGGCCCACGGGCCCACAGCCAGTAGAACATGCCCGTTGTGAAAAATACGACGGCAAGATCTAAGGAATGGTTGTCTGCCACATTCGGCCTCTGGGGGCTCTCTGCGGCGCCCCCAAGCTGCTGAAAAACTGGCTCGGGATGAAAAGCCAGTCGCGGGGATTGTGGAGGAGGAGGAGGAGGAGGAGGAGGAGGAGGAGGAGGAGGAGGAGGAGGAGGAGGAGGAGGCACGGCCCGACCTGAGAGAGTTCATCCCCGCCCCGCGCCTCGACCACCACGAACGAAGAGGCCGCGCAACACTGCTTCGGAGCGAATGGGCACGCAATCTCGCTCTGAAAAAAAGATGGGCAGACTTCGCCCCATGCGACCCTGAGGGGCGCTGAGCATTGAATGTGGCGTGCAGGGCGCCGATGGCGAGCGCGACGCTGAGAGAACTATCCGAATCAGTTGACAAGACATTGCAAACAAAAAATGCGATGGGATCATCCCCCAATCCTTGGAGAAGAGATTGGAAACACTCACGGGCGCAGGGGGCCAAACTAGGACAGGAAATACCGTGGATGTACAGAATTAGCGCGAAATCAATTCGTAACGTTGGAACTCGTCATTCAAAGGCCACGAGCTCCAGGTTTCGGCAAGATCTCTGGCAGCCAATACAATTGTAATAAGCAAGCGCGAACCACGGAAGCAAAGTTTCTCAATCCGTGCTCGCTTACGCTTAGGTTGTGCTCCATCTCTTTCCATTGCGGAAATCAACGCCCCGAAGGTTTCGCGCTAACTATTTACAGCCGCAGTAGAATGCGCAATCTCATCACCACCTACCGCGAAACAGTCCTATCGACACCCAAGACGCCCCTGACGGAACCGCCGAGTGGTGGTCCAGGCATCGCACAAGGTCTCAAGCACCGAGCTCACTGCGCAGGATCCAAGCTCTTGGCCAATCCTGACAAACCTACTTCGGGAAAACTCACACAGCTTGGGAGAAGTTGGGCGCCGGTACGTAGTTCAGACGAACACTGAACGCGCGCGCAGTGGAAGGGATAGGAAAGACACCCAGCAACATCTCCACAGCTTTGCTCCGGAGACCGTTGCACAGGTTGGCGGGGGCCGCGGGGGCCCGAGCGAGAGACGCGAAGTTGCGATGCACGCGGACAAAAGAGGACCTGTAGGCAGGCGAGCGCATATGAAGAACAACTGGCACTCATCACGATCGCTGAACTCTTCCAGAAACTCGCGAGCGCGCGCGAACTCGTCTGAACGGAGAGCGGCGCGGAACAGAGCAGCACATGCATGGTGGGCAGATGAGAGGACTTCACGCGAGATGCCATAATATCCCAGATCATGGGGCAGACCGCCGGGCAACGAATGTCTGGGAGCCACGGGGAGCTGTTGGAGAGCCTCGTGTTCAGCCTCAAGTACATGCTTGTTGATGGGATAAAATTGTGCTACACGTTGGAGAACAGGCTGGCGGTAGATGTTGCGCGCGTGGATATCTCCTGCAAGGCCAACGCAGATACTCTTAACATACCTGGCGCGTCTCACCAAGGCCCTGCGAGAGCCAGCCCAGACAAGATTTCCACCGTCGAGGCCCAAGGGCGCCCCGAGGTAAGTGCCAGAGCGCTTGATCACACAAGCTTTCGCTCGAATCTCGTTCGCCCTGCAATCCCGGCGAAGCAACTGCCCCGACTGGTCGCGTGGCAACGCGAACTGGCACTTGGAAGGGCGCAGGAAAATGCCAGCAATCCTCGCAAGTTCCACGATGTGGCCGGCCATCTTCTCATGGGCGGCCCCCAAATCATGCGCGGCAGTTCGGAGATCATTGGCGCGCGCGCACGGGCGAGCACGGGCGTCGCAAAGGTCGCCACGAATACATCTGAACCAGGGATCGAGAGCAAGAGCAAAATATGCCAGGGAATGGGCAGCCCTGCTCAACGCCGCGCCCCACCTGGAACTCACCGAACACTTTGCTTGAAAAGCACGCGCGCATGCGTCTCGCCATGCCAGTTGCGGATAATCAAGCGGCAACAAGAAGGAATGCCCATTTCATGAAGAACAAGCTCAATCCAGTCATAAGCTAAACTAAGGAAAGCTCGTTTGCTATCATGCAGAGCCACTCCCGGGGGGGGCGGCTTCACAAGCAGCGCGCAGCGCGCATCTACTATCCAGCGCCATGACATCATCATCATCCACTCGGGACCGACCACCAACAAAACCGCGCTTCTCACGATCCACTGTGCGACGAGCTACTTGACCGAGAGGCTGCGACCGCGCGCCGCAGACAAGCTTGCAGCGGCAGTTGCACAGAGCGAGCGGCTGGGCATTTTCCAGCGATCTCGCCGGATCCGCCCCCAGCGCGCCCTTCGGCAAGAAAGCTTGGAAGGCGCCGTTGAACTCGTCGGGGATATCCCCCGCGTCAATGATATGGCAATAAGGCCGATAGGGTATCTCACGAGGCGGCAACGCCCCATGCCTCCACCCAGAGAAACGAGCGCCATCCAGTCCAGGATTCGAGTCTATGGATGCATTAATCAGATGATCAAACACCTCTTCGTCCGTAGGTCCACAACATGTCCTGCGGAGCCCTCTGAATCCACTGCTTAAAATATAGTATGCTCTCCTGGCAGGGGCAAAAAGGTCGGGCGACGCTCGCCCGGCGGTCCTGCAGAAGGCTTGCGCGCGCGCGCGGGGTCGGGCGCGAGCGTTCCCGAGGGGGGTCGGTGATTCCCCGGGGCATCGCTAATATGTGGCTGGGGGGCCAACCGCGAGAGAGTCTTTCGATCTCCGCGCGCCGCGCAGCGCTCGCCCGCGAAGAGGTTGCCCCACCACTAACAGGTTCCACTCGTCCTTCCTCGAGTTCAGCGCGGCTTTAGTCATCGACGCGCAAGTAAAACTTATCGGTGTCAACCAGGAGATGCTCTTCAGATGCGAATTCCAAAAAGTTTCGGGAAACGGCGAAAAGCGGCCCTCATGCGGCCCAGGTCGTCGCCCCCCCAGTCCTGTCACGGGCCACGCGCCCGGAGATTTAGCGCCAAATCACGCTGGAACTGCTCGCGCGGGACTCGTTCGGGAATTCCCAGGACGCAACGCGCGCGATCGACTCCACCGCGGCGGGGTCATCAGACGCACCGGAGTCTGCTAGCGTCCGTTCGACCTTTTCCGAAAACTCAGGCCAGCGACGCGCCCGGCGCGGGGTCGAAGGGCGCGCGGTCGGGCTCGAACAGCAAGACTGACATATACAGGCACATGGTCGCTTCATTCGCGCAGCCCCACTGGCCGCCACTCAACCCCAGCGGCGGGCGTGAGATCTACGAGAACAGGGGGGGGGGGGGGGCGATGCGCATGCGCCATCAATGCGCGCCGCGCTCAAAAGTGCCACATTATTCTGCGCATTGCGCGCGTGACGTTCCTGCGCAAGTTCAACGGGGCGAGGGGTGCATCTGCCGCATTCACTAGCCGGCGAACCGCCGGCAGTCATCGAGAGACGGGCCCACGCGCTACCTAGCCTCGCCAAGTGCATAGAACCCCCCATCACCACCTGCCAAGACAGACGCATGCTGCGGGTCGAGCGATCTCGCAACACAAGGGAGAAACTGCCTCTTTCCAACCGTCGAGTCCCTGGGATTGAGGCGCGCAGAACAGAGATGGAGACAGCCCTGGCGCCATTCGAGGTGGACGGCGATGCGCCTGCCGGCGACAATATTCATCGAATCGACGTCCTCCAACTGCGAGCGTAGACGGTCACGGACGCATATCATAACACAACCAGAGATTTCGCCATCACAGAACGAGCCGCGGCATCTGTGGGAAAGGAGAAGACGAGAGAAGACATCTAGGTCCCCGACGTGCCCGTGATATTCTCGCGCGAAGAGACAGTCGAATTTATCGGCGAGCCCGAGGAAAATAATGAACGCGTTGGATTCCTGCCCGCGAGCACCACTCGGGGCACCAAGCGGCGTAGCGGCGCTCCAGCTGCACATGGACAAATGGCTGCGTGGCACACAAGGGACAGGGGGAGGAGGGACACTGAAGGCACTCGGCTGCGAGCGCGGCGAAAAGGGGCAGAGCAGCGCAGTCCTCATTTATTTCGGGTGGCCATCGGATCAAATTGAGCGTATGCAGGATCGGCTTCACCTTCTCGAATGTGAGTCTCCATTCCAGACAATCGACTTCGACCCATTCAGCGCGTCCACCAGCACCGATTCTAACAAAGCCCCACACGTCCGCCCCTGGCGTCGCCGATGCGGATTTTGAGAAACCCAAGCAGCCGAGCTTGCACTTCTTGATTTCCTATTCCTGGTGCGTCTTGAGCAGCTTTATCAGGGCAGCCACGCCTGGCCCAGTTGTCCCTGACGCATGCGCACTTCATGCGGGGGCTCTCCTCGGCACCACAATTGAATGACAGCGCTTGCCCGAGGATCCGCCCGCGCAACCGAATTCGCACCAAACCACGAAGTGAATGCCTTCGCCTGCTCATGATATTCCCAAACCACACTGAAAATCCGAGGCGCAGCGCGATGACGGATGGAAGAGGGGCGTCGTTTTCATCTCGCCGAAGCGCAACGCGCACTCGGATTAAAACATGCAGAAACTTCGCGGATACAAGGCGGCTCTTTTCCAACAACGGTTTTCTCGCATGAGCGCGGTTCGCATTCGTCTTAAACGTTTGCAGCAGCTTCGCAGATGGAAGGCGGTTTCTTTTCAACGTGTGGCCCTCGCCTGAGCGCCGTGCGCGCTCGTCTGAAATATTTGCTGCAGCTTCACGAATGGAGGGGGGGCGTTGTCAAAATGGTGTTCTCGCCTTGGCGCCGCGCACAGCCGTCCCAAAGTTTGAATTCTTCCAAGGATGGACAGGGGGCCGTTTTCAACATGGTGCCCTCGCCTGAGCGCCGCACACATTCGTTTGAACAGTCTGCACTGGTTTCACGGATGGAGGGCGGCCCCTTTTTACATTCGCCTCAAACCCCTGCAACAGTGCAAATATTGATCACAGGCCGTTCTCAAAATAGTGCCCTCGCCTCAACGCCGCTCGAATGTGCTCGTTAATGCAACGTTGAGAAATATCGGAGATTCTTGCCCCAAAACTTGAACTATCGCGTGAGAACTCCTTCAGCTGCAGGGATCCATGGAGGTTCTGGTTGTGATGAAGCTGTCGTTTGAAACTTCCTCGAAGCTTCTGACCAATGGCCACAAGTGTAGACGTGTGCAACAATTGCACGGATGGCGTGCGGACCTCCTTCAAAAGAGGGATATCGCTGGACAACTCGTTAAACTGTATGGTCATCTGTTCACGCTGATGCTTACTCGTCAGAAAAAATGAAGTGCAGTTTTTGTTCAAAGCGGGGCCTTGCCAAAACGGCAGGCCCAACTGTGCTAGACTTTCAGGAGAGACGCTTCTTCTAGCGAGTAGGAAGACTTGTAGGGGCGTATGAGGACGGGACACGTCCGCCCTCACACGGGACGAGGGTGTATTGCAGCATCGTTAATGCATATTTTGTTTACTCTGGTCCTCCTCCTCCTCCTCCTCCTCCTCATCTTCCTCCTCCTCCTCCTCCTCCTCCTCCCCCTCCTGATCCTGCTGCTTGCACGTGGCCGCGGCTACCGGGCAAGCAGTCCCTGGTGCCGTGAAGAGCGCTTCAGCGGCCAACGCACCAGTGGAAACCGGCTGTTCGGCCCGCTCGTTCATCACTGAGGCATCGCAATTATTGGTGCTTCGAAGTTGTCTCTTGCTCCTGCTCTTGCTACTGCTCTGTCTCCTCCTCCTCATCACGCAACATGGGGTGTCAAGTGCAACGCCGCTCGCCTGGAAGGCCCCCCTGTTCCCGCGGGTTCGGGGACAACCAGGCAAGCGCTCTCCTCCACCCCCTCGTCTCCCTCCTCCCCAAAACACCGCGGACGGCTTGAATGTTTTCAACCTCTGGGGGCCCCTACCAGGATCCAACTCGGGATGTAAAGCCAAGTCCCGGGAAGAGGTGTAAGAACAAATGCTCCACGCTGTGAGAAAAAAACAAGAGATATGCACAACATCGGAGATATGGACCCCTCCTTCTCGTCCACATCGTCTTCCTCCTCCTTCTCCTCCTCTTCCCCCATCTCCACGCCCTCCTCGTCGTCCTCTCCTGCCCATCTGCCGAAGAAGAAGAGAAAGAACAAGAAGAAGAAGAAACAGAAGAAGGGCTGGCGCCGCGAAGACGGACATGGCGCCCGCGCGCACGGTCCAGAAGCTTCTTGAGGGGGCGGCGCGCACAAGCGTCGGAGCGCTACCGGCTGCGGAGCGGGGCCGCCGCTGCCAAGTTGAGAGACGCGACGATTAGAGCGAAGAGGGAGGCAGACAGCACCACAGGTACGGCAGGTTCGTGTCGTGACGACCCCAGCGCTGGTTTCTGACACCGCGTGGTTCGTTCGAACTCAAGCGATCGGCGGCTTTTCGATCGCCAGCCCGTTCCACATTGGCCGACTCCGGGCCACTGGCTGCGTTCAACCCTGAACGCCCCCGGCGGGGTCGCCGCCGCGTCGACACGCCACGAACCCACCGTACATCAAACAAGGGACTGGTCGACCATCATGTGCCCCAAAGGAGCTTCGTAGTCCCCCTATGGCTCGGGGGATCCGCGTGGCCCTGAACGAAGTCGAAGATCCATGGCGATAGTGCATCCCTAGATTGCTTACAGCAAGACGTCTTGGCGTGCAAAGGGGAAGGCACCCAGACAACCGACGCCGTGTTTTCATCAATGCGCGGCCCCAGAGGTCCCGACCCCTACCCCCAGGGGTAGTAGCTGTGTGTGTCCAGGATCCACGTTTGATGGCACTTGGGACCGACAGAGGAAAGACGCCAATGATTGAACAAACAATTGTTTTCGTCGCGGCGCGGCAAAAGCAATCCGCTCGCGCGCTCTAGCAGCCGGGGCAGAACGTTCGAGAACGAAACAAAGACGCGCACACACACAACGCACAAACACAAACACACACACACACATTCACACACATACGCACATATCTGTATACATATATATATACATATATATATATACATACTAGAACCATCGCGCGCTTCGCGCGCGCTCAGGTTCTAGCAGGCCCCACGCCATGACGAATTCATTGATCCACTGAAACAGTGGACCACAATCCACGCCCGTCAATCCGCACTCCGGGAAGCTTTCGGGGAAGGTGACTGCGCAGGGGGGACGGAGGCTGGACGAATCGGGCTCCCAGAAGGCCTTCTGGGAACATGAGTTTGGGGAGCCTGTTGGGGCGTGCCGTCGTCGTCGTCGTCGTCGCCGTCGTCGTAGTGTCGTCGTCGCCTCGTGGGGCGCGCCGTCGTCGTCGTCCTCGTCTTCGTCGTCTTGTCGTCTTCGTCGTCGTCGTCGGTTCAAGAGGGCACTTGGGGCAACTTTGTGCGAAACGATCTGCGTGGGGCCACGAGAAGGCGATCAGTCATGTTCCCAGTCAACTTCCCAAACAACTCTCCAGTAGCGTGATGGTACTTCGGAGCCTCCCGAGACTCTCGGGCCCATCATGACTCATGTCGCCGGAAGGCTTTCTGGGGACATGATTTCTTGGGGTGTGTTGGGGGGCCTCTTGGGCGTTCCCTGGGGGCCCCTTGGGGGCCTCCGGGAACTCTCGGGCCCATTATGAACCATTTCACCGGAAGGCTTTCTGGGGACATGATTTCTTGGGGTGTGTTGGGAGGCCTCTTGGGCGTTCCCTGGGAGCCCCTTGGGGGTCTCTTGGGGCTTCCTGGGGGCCTCTGGGGCGCCTCACGGGGCTTCGTGGGAGCCTGTTGATGGCCTCTGGGGGCCTACTGGGGGCCTCTAAAGCCAGAGACCTCGAAATATCGGTTTCCGGTCCCCCTCTGAGCCCCCTCTGGGGGAGCTCTTGGGGCACACTTGGGTTGTCTCGGGAGGCCCCCTGGGCCGTCTTGGGGTTCTCTTCAGGGCCTCGTGGGCCGTCTTGGAGCGAACTGAAGGGCCGCCGAGGCCGTGGGGGAGCGCTGGGAAGGGGGGAAAGCGAAAACGCCAAAAATCCTTCAAAACATAGGAAAATGAATGAGTTTTGCCTCCCAGGGCCCTCTTTGGGGAGCCTCTTGAGTCCGTCGTGGAGCGTGTTGGAGTCCTCGTCGGCCGTCTTGAGGGCAGGTTGGGCGTCTTCGGGGCCTCTTGGGAGCGTCTTGGGCCCTCTCGGGACCCCCATTAGCCTGTCGTGGCCTGCTTCGGGCCGAGCCCGAGCCGCCTCGGGACCCCTCTGGGCCCCCTCTTGGGGCGCTCTTGGGGCACACTTGGGTTGTCTCAGGAGCCTCCTGGGCCGCACGATCGAAGACGAAGAGGGCGGGTATCCAGGGTTTGGAATATATGCGTTGAATGGCCCGCGAGCAGACAAGGGCGAACAATGCTTTTTTGTTGTTTTCTACATCGGGGGATGGACTCGGACCCGGAGATTGGAGGTAAGGGATGTCGAGGGGGAGAGCTGGCCAGGAGGGCAAGATCTATCAACATCGACTCGGAAACCAGACAAGATGGGAACGTGCGTCGATTGTGAAGGGGCCCTGAGACACACAAATAAATACACACAAATCAAACGATGTCCCATATTTTCCCATATTTTCTGGGTTTCTGTCATCCCCCCCACTGCCCATGTTTTCCCATATTTTCGAAGGAATCGACGATTAATTGTGTCTGTGTGTTTTCTCTCCTCCTGAGATTGGGTCGCATCGGATACGAAATCGGCATCGAATCGGCTCTTTCGCGCCGGGCTGCACAACAAACACTGCCGTGTGCAAGCATCGGGCCGTACCAAATCTCTAAGGAGAGATGGAACCGAATCACATCGGGCCGTGCGAGCTCGAAATCGAATCGGATCCGTGGGCGAGCGATAAGTACATCTAATGTCACACATCTTCCGCCCTCCGGACCCCGACTCAACTTCTCTCCCACTGCACCTCTCTCAAAGACGTCTTGCCGCGCTGTGTGTTACCCTGTCGCCCTAACTCGTCGTCCTATCTTCTTCTCCTCCTCCTCCCCCTCATCCTCCTACTCCCTGCTCATCCATCATCATCATCATCATCATCATCATCATCATCATCATCATCATCATCATCATCATCATCATCATCATCATCATCATCATCATCATCATCATCATCATCATCATCATCATCATCATCATCATCACCATCACCATCACCGGACGAGGAGGAGGAGGAAGTGGCCTACAGTTGGCTCCGGGCATCCAAAATGTCGCCCGGGAATGGAGATCTGGGAAGTCGAAGAGCACGAAGTGGCCTACAGTTGGCTCCGGGCATCCAAAATGTGGCCCGGGAATGGAGTTCTGGGAAGTCGAAGAGCACGAAGTGGCCTACAGTTGGCTCCGAGCATCCAAAATGTGGCCCGGGAATAGAATTCTGGGAAGTCGAAGAGCACGAAGTGGCCTACAGTTGGCTCCGAGCATCCAAAATGTGGCCCGGGAATGGAGTTCTGGGGAGTCGTAGAGCACGAAGTGGCCTACAGTTGGCTTCGGGCATTCAAAAGGTGGCCCGGGAATGGAGTTCTGGGAGGTCGAGGAGCACGAAGTGTGTGACTGTTTGCTCACAACGAGCCCGGCCCTGAGCCCGGCCCTCGCTGTCCGGATGCCGCCCAGACCTCCCTTCTGAGTCATCAGATGCTCTCTTTTGACACCACTAGAAACCTATCAGTCTTCGCTGTTAGGTAAAAGTGCACACGTCCGAGCGATGCCAAGCGGAGGAGACCTCCTGCTCGAGCAGCTGCTGCGCGCGGTCCTTGTTCACCTGGCGGGGCGGGGCGGCGAAGCGACAAGAATCGGCAGCGCGCCCCTTCGGCAAATCTACCTGAATTCTTCTCGCCGTGGTCGGGGGTGGAGGGCAGCGGGTCCTGCAGCGTGCGAGTCCACCCCCTCCAAGTCTGTCATGAGGTGAAGGGGGCTGTAGGGGGACGGATCCCGCCGCGGCTTCCCTGGCAGGAAGCCCACAAAAGACGCACGCGCCCAACCACGCACGTGAATACACCCCCCCAGTCCGCGAGACCAGCCGCGTGATACGAACGTTCGCGCAATGCCTGCTCTCGAAACCAACGGTATCCCTGCACGTGCACGTGCCTCTTTCGCTCCTGACCTGGGACGAAGGTCGGTCATCATCGAGTCGGGAGACCGGATCGAATCGGAATGCGCGGCGGATCAGGCTGAAACGGGCGCGGAAGGCGGAATCGTGCCGGGTCGTTTGCGCCAGGATGCACATCAGTGCCATGCAAGCGTCCGGCCGCATCGGATCGGGCAGGGATCGACTTCGAATCGGGTCGATCGGATCGAAATGAGCTCTGCACTCCCCACCCCAGTGGGTCAGGGCTCCGCCTACCTCCTGTGGCCGGTGACGGATGCAGCGCAACCCTACGGAGACGGCATCTTTCCCCACCTAGAGGGGCAGGTCGTGGTAGTGTGCGCCGAGAATGCGCCGAAGGCATCTATACACCACCGTGCTTGACCAGGGCCATCCTTGGCCCTGGTATGGTGCACGCGCTCTCCTTGCCGAGGCCACGTGGGACGGCAGACACCTTAACTTGGCCCTGGCCAGGCATGGTGGTGGTGAAGCATGGATGCGTTCTGAGTCCTCCGAATGGCTTGAATGCCACAGGGCGTGCCTCCAGCGGCTGTGCGGGACGATTCGGGCCCCCCCGGAATTGTCTCAGTGAGGTGCAACTGCTGGAAAGTATCCCAGGGCGAGAGAACCTCCAGGAGCCAGCGGAAACCTCCGATATGTGTATATATATATACATATATATATACCGAAGACGAGGACGAAGAGTGGTGGTGGTCTCTGTGTATGTGCCTTCTGCGGAACAAGAGCGCGGGCGCCCCTCTGCAAGTGATCTCGTGAGGGGGGAGTTTTTAGGAGGGGACAGGGAGGGATCATCGAGCTGGAATCGGCGAGACATCGCCGATTGATCTACGAGGGCCCCGCCGATGGCGAAACTGCATGCCCTTGGGTTGGGTGGATCTATCAGGCCCCTATCGGCGATTAGTGGGCGATCGGGGGTCGATGCAACCTCAGGTGGGGGAGGGGTAGGCTCAGAGGGGGATGTATCGACCCCCAGTCGCTCACTCATCGCCGATAGGGGCCCGATAGCCCACCCCGCCCAGGAGTGTGCGGTTTCGAATCTGGTGCCGATCGCCGATATGTTGGCCATGCATCGCCGATGCCAGGTCGATGTATATATATATATATATATATATATATGAGGGCCTAGCTTGACCCTCCCCCCAA